TCTATTAGGTGGAGTATTTAGCAATGAGGCAGAGCAATCACTTGTAGAAAGCCTGGTCACAAGGTGTCTGAACAACGAGGAGTCAGCTGCTCAACCCAAGGCTTTTAACAAAAATATCAGTAAAGAAGTTCTCAGTAGAGTTCTCATAACCCGCCCTGCTGTCCAAACTCTACTTGTCAAATGAGGCTTTTAAAATAATTAGAATGATTGCTGATGAAGATTCTCAGTCATCCAGGTCATAGTCATTCCGTAAAAGTTCAAAAAATCCACTGGACTTAGTTTCCAAAGTTTGAAGACGTTTCGTCACCTCTCTAGGAAGCTTTCGACATTTGAATCGAGAAAGCTTCCTGGAGGGGTGGCGAAAAATCTTCAAACTTTGGAAACTAAGTCCAGTGGATTTTTTGAACTTTTACGGAATTAGAATGATTATTTTTCATTGAAGAATCCCCTTTCTAATCTGAAGGTTGAGTTAGGAGTGATCATTAGCCTGTTTTTATATTTGGATCTATTTCTGGTCACTTCTTTCTGTAGTATCATGGGCCACCTATAGGAGGTGAGGAACTGTGCTAGCCTGTTGTATAAATGGTGTTAAGGAGCCAAGCTCGGCACAGTTAACTGATCCAAGCTCGGTCCGAACTCGGCAGGGATCGGTTTCAGATGGGTAGTGTAAATGGGGCAATAGTGAAGCGCCCGCCGATCCCAGAACCCCCAAACGACCATTAACCCCCAGGTGACCTCAATGGCCAATCCAGTAGGAGGGATCAGAGCCACCTTTTGTTTCCCCTAATTCCTTGTTCTACCTACACTATATTAATCTCGTTGCTCCCCACCAATAGTTAGAACTGAAGAAGCCTCTTGGATGAGAGACGAATCTTCTTTTAGGAAACGTCATGTCCAGTTGCCTAAACTGAACTTTTCAAGCAACACCTATTGCCCGCCTACAAAAGTTTGGTTTTAGCCAATCAGAAGGTAAAAGTACAAAGTCATTCTTTTTAATTCCTATTTCAAAGATTGTTTTGCTTTTTGAGAAATTCTTTACGGAGCCGAAGGTAAGTGTGTATCCTCCTGTGCTGCCATGAGTAGAGGGTATATATGGAAATAATTTAAATAATTTAGTTCTTTTTTTCAAGTATGAAATTAAAAAGAATGCATCGGCAACTTCAAAATCCAAATAAAAAACAAATCAAAGGTTTGGCCGATTTTACTTGTCTTAGCATTAATAACAAGGCTTTTTAAAAGAGCTATCTGAAAACAAGCTAACTATGAAGTGAAAATGGAAATAAGAAAAAAAAGCATATTTCTATTTAAATAAAACAGAATTCTTCTAGATGGGTCAAGGGTCAAATTATACTTATATTGTTTTTATGCAAGAATTTAAGGTACAATACAAACTCCTTGAAACTGTACCCTCTCTGTTCTCTGTTTTCATATTACGGTATTATCTCATATCCCTTTGTGATTTCCCACATGTTGAACCATCATAAAGTAAAATATTTTAGCAATCAAGAGACCTTTTAATTCTTCTGGAGATGAATCTAGTAGAAATATATTTAACAGAAAAAGCAGGGAAAATTCAATCAGATTATCACTTAAGATTCAAACATTCCCCTTAGTTTTAAGTCTGAAGTCTTTTTCTGGAAGTGCAAAACAGATGAGAAATAAAGTGATTTCACAAGCGTAAAACCTTAACATCATTTTCATGTCAAGTGCCATCACCTGTTCCATGTCTTGAATCTTAAAGGCCTCATCAGGGGGTAGAAACATCACTTTCTTAAAGCTGAGATCTAAAGCAGTAAGGAGGGAAGTGTTTGGAAACTAAGGCTGACACATAAACAGTCTGTCTAATCTTAGAAATCAGAAATCTATCTCCTCTTTCTTTCATCTTTTCTATTTTTTTTCTTTTTTCCTTTTTCTTCTTCTGTTTTCCTGCTCTATTTACATTGCAATGTCCATATAAACTGTAAAACTCCCTGCATAATTATAATAAAGCAATTTATATGAATAAAACAAGTGTAGCAGTATGGCAATTGAAAAGATTGAAAAAGAAATCAGAAACACAGTTGCTTCTTTAAACAGCTAAAGAGTCTTGCTAAACTCCTAAGTAACATCCCAAGATTTAGGATTAAGGTCAAGATTAATGCCGAATCTACAGAAGAAGATTAAGGCCACTGAAAAAAAAAAAGATTTTTTATTTCATTTTAGTTTTATTTGGAGAAAATGAATTTTGACTTTAATCTCAGAATTGGGATTTTTTTCCCTACAATTCTGACTTTAAAATGAAATTTCAGACTTTTTTCTCAAAATTATGGAGATTAAAGTCAGAATTCTGACCTCTTCCCCATCTTTATCTGGAATTGGCCACTCTATGACTTTTCGGGGTCAGTAAAAAGCTCTCTGCCCTCAAATATGTAACCAAGAAGATTCCAAAAAAGAAAAAAAAAAACAATCCACTGAACTTTGTTTTCAAGTTTGAAGACATTTCGCTTTCCATACAGGAAGTGTCAGAAAAAGCATTGAGTTTCAGGCTTTATAGAGTGGAACAAAAACACTTTGTTATGCAAATGCAAATTGAACGGGACGAACTGGTCCACCCCTTTGGGGGTCATTTAAGTTCTTTGTTAGCCTGTAATATCCAATACCTTTCTATGTCACCAGTAAGACCAAAGAGATGGTGATCAACTTCAGGAGAAGACCCCACCTCTCTCCCCTGTGAACATCCAGGGGCAGGACATAGAAACTGTTTCACCTGGGTGTTAACATCAATAATCAACTGGACTGGACACATAACACGACGCCCTGTATAAGAAGGACCAGAGCCGCCTCCACCTCCTGAGGAGTAGGGCTGGGTACCGAACTTCGGTTCTTTTATGGTACCGACCGAAATGCTTCGGTTCTACAGAGTATCGAAACATGCCTCGTCTTTCGGTACCAAGTTTCGGTGATTGGCTGTTACACTTAACGTGATTGCGTCATCCAGGAAAAATACACAGGTGGTCACGCCTACAGCCAGGGTTCCTGTGTATCTGTTGTGAACTGGTTGCAGCGTCATGGAACCCCTTTAAAATGCCCCGCAGGTCAAAAGTGCGGCTTCACTTTATTAAGACTGATGCCAATAGTGCGCAATGCAATACATCGTGCACGGAAACAATTTAAGAGCAGAAAGTCGCTCGGTGTTTGACTGCAAGAAGAGCGGACCGCAGCCGGCGTGACCACCCTCTTTCAGCAGCCCGTGGGCAGAGCAAAGCCAGAGCGGAGTGAATCATGCTGCTTTCAAACTGGACGCAGCAAGAGCAGCAAAATCACGTCTGCTGCTTCTTTTTTGCTGCTTGTACCAGCTTCTGACGCGCGGCTGAAGAAGCTTTGCTGCTCTGGCTGCGCGGTAGAAAAGTGGCTCTGACGTGCGTTGGGCGGAGCTACTCTATCCTTTATTTGCCTTGCAGCTATATTTGCTGCGATCAATGGGAATAAAGTAGTTTTATTATGTTTTTAAGTGGGAAAATCCACCTGAAAACTTAATCAGTGCAGTCAATTTATCCTGCCTTCCAGTATTTCTGTCGGAGCCGCTCAGACCCCCACATCCCAGCGGTGTGCTGTCAATAGGATCCCATTCAACGGGCTTGTTTGTCAGACATGGTAATTTTTCTAAAGGAAAACTGCTAAGTAAAAAGGTCCTCACAATGTAACAGTGAATATCAGACACTGAATTTTTTTTTTATGTAAGAGGAAAAATGTAAATGGAAAAATCAGAGCTTAAAACAAAACTCAAGATTTGTACTTTTTTATGTTGTGTAATTTTATTTTTTTTCGAATTGATATGATAAAACTGGTATCGAAAAAAGTATCGTTCAGGAACCGGTATTGAAGTGAAGGTATCGGTATTGGTACCAGAACCGAAAATTTTTGAACAATACCCAGCCCTACTGAGGAGGCTGAGATTCTTTGGACTATGACTCTGTGGTGGCATCAGCTCTCCTCTACGCTGCTGTCTGCTGGGCCCCTGGCAGCGCAAAGCAGGACAGAAAGACACTGAACAAACTGTTGAGAAAGGCAGTTTCTGTCCTAGGCTGCACTCTGGACTCGGTAAAGGAAGTGGCTGAGAGGAGTGTGCTGTCCAAGCATACATCCGTCATGGACAATACCTTCCACCCTCTGCACTAGACTGTAGAGGAGCTAAGCAGCTCTTTTGGTAAAAGACTTTTACACTGTGTTTGTAAAAAGGAACGCTACCGCAGGTCCTTCATCCCATGCTGCGATTAGACTACACAATGCTAGACTACAATGGCAAAAACTTGTGCAATATCCATCCAACCATCCATTCATTTTCTTCCACTTATCCGGGGCCAGGTCAAGAAAACAGCAGTCTAAGCAAAGAAGTTCAGACTTCCCTATTTAGACACACTACCTCCAGCTGCTCTGGAGGGACCCCAAGGCAACACTAAGCCAGCCCAGAGATATAGTCCCTTCAGCGTGTCCCGGGCCTTCCACAAGGCCTCCTCCCAATGGGACATGCCTGGACCACCCCCAAAGGGAGGCGACGAGAAGGCTTCCGAAACAGATGCCTGAGACATCCTAGCTGGCTCCTTTCGCCGTGGAGGAGCAACGACTCTACTCCAAGCTCCTCCCGGGTACCTGAGCTCCTCATCCGATCTCAAAGGGTGAGCCCAGCCACCCTCGGAAGGAAACTAATTTCAGCCGCTTGTATTCGCGATCTTGTCCTTTGGGTCATTACCCAGATCTCATGACCATAGGTGAGGGTGGGAACATAGAACAATCGGTAAATCGAGAGCTTTGCCCCCCGACTTAGCTCCCTCTTCACCACGATAGTCCTATAAAGTGACAGCATCACTGCCGACGCTGCACCGATCTGTCTGTCGATCTCACGCTCCATCTGTCCCTCACTTGTGAACAAGACATCGCCATACAACAGGATAACATCATCTGCGAACAGCAGAGATTATATTCTGGGTTGATTGTTGACCAATATTTATGTTTTCTAAGCATGTAACACCCTAACTATGAACAAAAATGAAACGTCAGAAGAAAACATTGAGAAGATGATTAAAATGGGCTCAGATGTTGAAGCTGTTCTTCGTGAGGAGGTACTGCAAGTGGAGCATGTTGAAGAAAACAAGCTCTTGCTTCGACCCAGAGATGGTCTCCTACTGGAAAATGTGCCGTATTGTGATGAACCCAGGAAAAAATCATGAAAATCTTATTTACTAATTTTTGTGCATCAGCAAAGAGACATTTATCCATCATTTCCATCTGCTGTTCAATAAATAACAGGAAACAATCTTTAATGTTGTGATGACCTCCTGCATGAATTCAGTTTGGCTTTCTGTAAAGTTTTCATCAAATGTTTTCAAATATGTTCTACTGATGCTTTTAGGTGCTTGTAATAAATACAAACTGGTGCAGAATTAAATTATTAAAAGAAAAAAAAAGAGATGATATACTGAGGTTCCATAACCAGACACCCTCTGGTCCCTGGCTGTGCCTAGAAATTCTGTCTATGAATATAATGAACAGAACCAGTGACAAAGGGCAGCCCTGGCGGAGAAGAACATGCATTGGAACAGGTCTGACTTACTGCCGGCAATGCGAACCAAGCTTCTGCTGCGGTCATACAGAGAGCGGACAGCCCTTCACAGCCTTCTCCACAAAGAGCCATCCACAAAACATATTTGCACTGGTTGGGCAAATTCCCACGAACCCTCAAGCAACTGATGAAGGGTATAGAGTTGGTCCAGTATGCCGCGACCGGTACGAAAAGCACATTGTTCCTTCTGGATCTGAGATTTGACTATCTGCTGGATCCTCCTCTCCAGCACCCTGGAGTAGACTTTACCGGGGAGGATGAGAACTGTGATCCCTCTGTAATTGTAGCACATCCTCCCATCCCCCTTTTTAAAGAGAGGGACCATCATCCCGACTAACCAATCCAGGGGTACTGTCCCCGACCGCCACGTGATATGGCCGAGACGTCTCAGCCAAAACAGTTCTACAACGTCCAAAGACTTAAGGTACTCAGGACGACTCTCAGTGACTTCAGCCTGGCTGATGGGCTAGTCCAGACATGGGCATACTACGGCCCCCGGGCCGTATACGGCCCGTTAGGCTTTTTAATCCGGCCCGCCGAACTTGTCCAAATTACCCTAATTTCACGACTGTAAGGCGCACATAAACGTCTTTTTTTTTTTTTTTTTCCTCAAAATGTGCGGTGCGCCCTATGTGTGTTGTAACTGCGACTTTTGAGACCACCATGCACCATGCAGAACTCCTCATCTCCTCATTGAGGAGATGATGAAAGCGTGGCTGAGGGAGGTGAATGTAAGGAGACCAGGTGTTTTTTTCCCACTCATCACCATCTCTGGTAATCTGTGACTGCATGCGTGCCCATCTCACAGCTGATGTGAAAAACATGGTGAAACAAATTAACGCTGTGCTCGCTGTTATTCAACCGCTCGACATCGGTGCGCTTCGGGAGCGCGCCGCCAACGCGCTGCTGCTGCTCGAGATGGAAAAATTGAAGTTTTGCTGCTGGAAGCGCCGCATCAACCAATCAGAGAAGCTGATCTGGGAGCTGACAGCGAGGCAGGTGTATGAGGAGACCAGGTGGTTTTTTCCACGCATCACCATCGCTGTTAATCTGTGACTGAATGAACGCTGTGCTCGCCGTTATCCCGGGAGGTCTGACAAAGGAACTTCAACCGCTCGACATCGGTGTGAAGAGGTCTTGTGCGAAATTCTGTTTCCCCGTGAAAATCTGTTCCCCCTGTGTCGGGAGCGCGCATTGCAGCCAGAGAGGCGGATCTGACCATTCTTAAGGCGCTCCTGATCATTTTTCGGTAAAAACAGCTCATATAATCATCTCAACTTTGTAACATCCATTTTAATCGGTTGCTCTTTTTAAGAAATTGTAAAATAAATACATTAACGAGGTCCTCACGCTGTTTTGTGTTTTTTTTTAACGCCAAGAGAATCGGTATTTCTCCAACTTTTGTCCCTTCAGCCTGACAGAAATAAACGTCAGTCACCGAACACAACAACACGTAGTGTATTTTTAATTTTTCATTGCTGATATAAGAGGATGGAAACTGGCTGATAGCAGGGCACACAAATTAAGACGTCCTGCGAAGATGAGAGTAGAATTTCTGGTTAATCACCTTCTAATGTAAAATATGACAGATTACTGGATTAAGGACATTTATAGTATACCACATCACACATATCAATTTTAGAGAAATTGGAAACAGTTGCTCTTTATTTCCCAAAGATATGGGAGGAGGAGAGGAGATAATGGATGTTTCAGTTTACTGAAATATTCTGTTCCCCCTCCATAACAGGGGAAGAAATTGATTTACCTGCAAGTCTTTAACTGTGCTTATTCATCTCACCACCGAGAACAAATCCTGTGGATTTGGTCATATTTACTCTTTATTTGCAAAAATTTTAAGGGGGGGAACCATATATTTCAGCTGCCTGAAATAATCTGTTCCCCCTCCATAGGGGGCCTCTGGGCCGGGTCTTCTCCGGGTTCACCGCAGCGGCTGGCAGGTGTTTTTTCATCTAAATAATCTAAATCTTGCAGCTATATTTGATGTGATCAGTGGGAATAAAGTAGTTTTAATATGTTTTTAAGTGAGAAAGTCCACCTGAAAACTTAATAATTGCAGTCAGTTCATCCAGATTTCTACTGTCGGTGCACCACATACCAGCGGTACACTGACAGTAGGAACCCCTTCAACAGCAGCCTCTAGGCCGGGCAGCCTCCGGGTTCACCTCGGTGGCTGGCAGGTGTTTTTCATCTAAATAATTTAAACTGCAGGCACCAGGATACCAGCAATAAAAGCGATCATATTCCGTCGGCAGGTTTCAGGATTTTAAGTTAATTTAGGAGTCATTACAGCGCTCTGTGTCATCTGCGATGTGTCTGTCTCAAGGCCAGCACGTAGGTTTGATTAATACTTTGTAATAAACAAATGAATAAAGCACAATCATACTCAGTTTTGCCCCTGCTCTATTTTTAAATACGCAGTAGAGGTATCTAAAGGTAGTAGAGGACATGTACCTGTATATAAGAAAACCCTATAGTCCGGTGCACCTTATGTGTGTGTTAAATACAGAAATGGCACACATAACTGAGACTGCGCCTTTTAGTACGGTGCGCCTTATGGTCGTGAAAATTGTCTGTTTTTTTTATACATTTCAATCCCCAGGTTTAATTAATGACATTGCTTGTCCAAATGCTCCTGGCCCGGCCCTTCTGTCAAATTTTAGAACCCATTCTGGCCCGCAAGTCAAAAAGTTTGCCCACCCCTGGGCTAGTCCGTCTCTAACTCCCCATCCTCTGTCTCCTCCTCGGAAGGCACGCCGATGGGATTGAGGAGATCCTCGAAGTATTCCTTCCACCATCAGACAACAGCATCCCTAGTCGAGGTCAGCAGCTCCCCACCCGCACTGTAAACAGTGTTGGTGAGGCACTGCTTCCCCCTCCTAAGGTGGTGGACGGTTTGTCAGAACACCTTCGAGGCTGACCGATAGTCCTCCTCCATGGCCTCTCCAAACTCCTTCCAAACCCAAGTTTTTGCATCTGCGACCGCACGAGTCGCAACACGCTTGGCCTGCCGATACCTCTCAGCTGACTCCAGAGTCCCACTAGCTAACAAGGCCAGGTAGGCCTCCTTCTTCAACTTGACAGCATCCCTTACTTCCGGGCGTCACCATCGGGTTCAGGGATTGCCGACGCTACAGGTACCAGAGACCTTACAGCCACAGCTACAAACGGCAGCATTGACAATGGAGGAGGAGAACATGAACCACTTTTGACTCCATGTCCTCAACCTCCCTCGGGATCTGGGAGAAAGTCATCTGGAGGTGGGAGTTGAAGACTGCAGCCAAGTCTGACCGGCTTCCTCCCCTGCCAGCAGATCCAGCTCACCACCAGGTGGTGATCGGTTGACAGCTCAGCCCCTCTCTTCACCCGAGTGTCCGAGACACTCGACCGGAGATCAGATGACACAACTACAAAGTCGATCATCGACCTCCGGCCTAGGGTGTGCTGGTTCCTTGTGCCCTTTTGGACGCCCTTGTGCTCAAACATGGTGTTCATTATGGACAAACTGTGATTAGCACAGAAGTCCAATAACAGAACACTGCTCAGGTTCAGATCGTGGAGGCCATACCTACTGATCACCCGTGTCCAGGTCTTACTGTCGCTGCCCACGTGGCTGTTGGAGTCCCCCAGGAAAACAATGGAGTTCCCAGTTGGAGCACCATCTAGTACCCCTCCCAAGCACTCCAAAAAGGCCGGGTAATCTGCACCGATGTTGGGCCTAGAGGCTGACACAAAGGTGTCTTTTTGCCATGGGAGATCCTACCATGGGGCATTTGATACACTGTGCAATAACTATATATATATTAATATCAATCTATATAAATACCCACGTAAACATCCTATGCAATTAACCTGTATAATGATCCTACTATAAAATCTTTTTTTTTTGTAAAGCTGTCATATCTGAACGCACTGTATATACTGTATATATCCCATGCACATTTTTCTTCCTTTGACACATTCCTCTCCTTTGACTTTTTGAGTTTATGTAACAAGTAAATTTCTCCACTGTGAGATCAATAGTCAATCAATCAATTAATTAATGCTGTGATATAATAGGTCCTTCGAGATTTTATCACAGATGTGAATGGCAGATATAACCGAACCTGTATCTGAGTTAGATTTAACTGTTTCCATTTCCTTGGACACAGATCAGCATTTGAATTTAAAACAAACTCTTTTCTGAAGGCAGATGAAAGCAATAAGTGTAAATATAATTCTGCTTCCAAAAACACCTTTTGGAAATAATGTTTTGGAAAATCAGTATCCTTTAATCTCACATCATGGTTTAAAGCTGGATGTTTTATTCAGCACTGAGCCTGTATAATCAACTTATAACTCGCATCAATCTGGCATTTTAATCTCCATCTGCAAACAAAAACAGCTGGCTGTGATTTGATATGGTAACAGATTTTAGATTAATATGGCACATCCTGATTTGTTTTTCTTGTCATCACAGGAGCCGCAGAGCCTAATCTCTGCCTTCCTTACTTTCAGTGAGGGTGTGAAGGTTTACAAATGAGGCAAGAATCAGTAAAAAGGAAAAAAACAAAGTTATAATTGCAGGTGAAGAATTCTTTCCCAAATCCTCTTTTTAGGCGTGTATTAGTTTTTCCCCTGGG